GGTGGCTACTTGATTATTCAAAATGCCAGAAATTTCTCTGTGTTGGTTTTCTGATATAGTGCTGTAGGCATTCACGGACTGAATGTTACAATGACCGGTGGTATATTTTGGTCACTTAATTAGTCCCCGTTCGAACGAAGTTCGAAAACGGGGACTTATAATTTGGTCTCCGTCCGTGCGTCTGTGTGTCCGTGCGTCCGTCCGGAGTCATATCTCAGAATCCCTTGGACCGATTCCGTTCATTCTTTGCATGTGTCTAGTACTTTATGTGGGACATATGCACATGCAGTGGTTTAGCGATTCGATTCAAAATGGCCAACTGGCAGCCATCTTGTTTTTTGAAAATGCTTTATTTTGGACATGCTTTGTCTGTTTTCATTCAAACTTGGTACATAGATTATACATATTAGGATACATGTCCATGCTGATTTATTTCACAATTGGATCAAAGATGGCAGACTGGCAGCCATCTTGTTTTTGAAAATGTTGTATTTTAGACATGCTTTGTCAGTTTTCACTCAAATTTAGTACATAGATCATACATGTTAGGATATATGTCCCCGACCGTCCATGAGTTCCTGAGTCTATCCGTCCGTGTGTCCGTCCGTCCGTACGTCCATGCGTCCGTCTGTCTGTCCGTGCGTCAGTCTGTCCATAGTCATATTTCAGAATCCTGTGGACCGATTCCGTTCATTCTTTGCATGTGCCTAGTACCTTATGTAGGACATATGCACATGCAGTGGTTAAGCGATTCAATTTAAAATGGCCAACTGGCAGCCATCTTGTTTTTTGAAAATGTTGTATTTTGGACATGCTTTGTCAGTTGTCATTCAAACTTGGTACATAGATTATACATGTTAGGATACATGTCCATGACGATTTATTTCGCAATTGGATCAAATATGGTTGACTGGCAGGCATCTTGTTTTTTTTTATGCAGTATCTTGGATGTGCCCTGTCAGTTTTCATTCAAATTTGGCACATACATGTACTTTATACATGTTAGGATGCATGTCCATGACAATTTGTTTCAAAATCTGGTCAAGGATGGCCGATTGACAGCCATCTGACTTTTTGACTTACTACTATATATTTCCACAATTTATGTACCATTTTCATTCGTATTTGGCAAATACATCATACATATCAGTGTGTTTCATAATCAGATCAAAGATGGCTGAATAACGGCTGTTTTTATTTTTGGCCTTATTACTATAAATCATCAATGTATCATTTTCATTGATATTTAGCATGTCATAAATGGACATGGACATGTACATGTCAATTCAATTTGTAATTTGATCAAATATGGCTGACTGGTGGCCATCTTGTTTATTTAAAATGTGATAACTTGGACATGCTTTCACTTATGATCTATGTTTTTATTTGCTATGTCTTAAACCGAAGGGGTCGTCATGCAACACGTGTTTGAATTTGATGTAAATAAACAATCTGTTGTATCTGCCACTTCAGACTCAAGTTACAAGAACATGCATGTGACAACCCCTCCACTTTAATATGAATGAGAACAAAGAGAACTTTCAAAAATTTGACGGAGACTGTGTCATTTTCAATGACTTGTTTCTACTAGTTTTGACAATGAGGGTTGTTCTACATTTTCCCCTGCGATGCAACATATTTATATATATATATATTTATATATATCTATTTATATTTTATTGTAATTGTGTTGTGTTTTACCAAAAGAAACATTGTAATTTCTAAGGATGCAATAACATTTGATTATTATTATTATTATTATTATTATTATTATTCTCAGCAGTTCTCTGAACACTTCAATTGTTTAATCTGTAATCCAGCTTTCATTAATACCTGTAAATCCAACCTCATGCTAAACAAATTAAATTGTGTGGTTCTGATAACATGCACTCCAAAAAAAAACAATGAGGATAGGCCAGATGTTTAATTTAATCTTTAATTTAATTTATTTTCGTTCATTGGACATTATTTATTTAATTTGCACTAGCTTGCCGATGACTTCACACCTATATTTAATGATATTACTAAAGTCTTCTCAATTTGGCCAAAGTTTGGGGTATTAAATTGAGTGTCATTCATCTTAATGAAATCTTGTGTGGTTGAATCATTTTTATTTAATGTTTGACCAAATCAATGTAAGTTTGGCAATAAATTTTAGGTAGGGTAGTAGTATTAATTTATTTGAATATTGTTTCATACAATAAATTAAATTCCATAATTGCTTTATTTCTGCAGTTCAGAAAAAAACAAACGCTTTCCTTGAGCAGTTTTCGGGGCTGATCAATATTTGTCCTAGAACATTCTATATGTTGTTATGACGTGTACCATGTATTTCTATGAGCTCTGCATGAGCTGCTGTGGAACGTCTGTCGAAGAGCCAATGAAAACAGCTTAAGTTAAGAAACAGAAGAAACGGAACTATGAGGCATTCCCAAACTGCAAAATTGATGTATGTTGCACATGTGTGGGCAATCTTGTCACTGTTCAGGAGAGTCTCCACAACAAGCCCAATTAATTATTCTACAATTTTTTGAGAGTTTCAACCACTGGTTGTGGCTGCCATGCTAGCGGTGAATATGCCCGGTTGTTCATTTCCGAGAATAGGGGGTTGTCTAGTTGCTAGGTTACCATGCAGACATCAACATCACTTCCATAATTCATATGAGGTGATTTCATGTCTAGTGTGTTGTAAGATAAACAATTA